TGGGCAATGTACTTCCATAGTGATACTGCCTTGGCAGCCCAAGGAGGGGTCGTTATGAGTCGGGGCCGATTCGATGACAATGAGTTTTTTAGTTTTATATAATTTTTAGATATTTACCTGATGTACGTAATTGAGAAAGATATGCTAAATAGTGTAAAAACTTTGTCAATTTTTAGAACTCACTTGATATGGTCTTAAATGATGAGCAATTCTTTCTCATACTTTATTTATTTTATTGTGCTTGGGGTGCAGATTTACAAAGCAGATTTGTTTTACATTCAACAGTTAATGCACTTTCGATTTCATGGCCTCAGTCATCCCCCCCAACTGTGAAAACTCTCCTCCCTTTGACTACCCCCACCCTGTGCCCTTCTTATCTGTACATTCCTATCTGTCCAGCTTTCCCTCTCTGTGAATGCTACCCCTCTGACGTCTCATGGCTAATTGATCTAAGGGGTGCATCTCCCTAGAATAGGGGGGTGCATTACCCTGGGGTAGGTGTTTTGTACGTAGGTCTTTCTGTTGTTGGGCTGAAAGCCAATCCATGGAAGCAAGTCCATTTCTAGGGCCAAAGGACAACCCGGGGCCATAGTCTCAGGTTCTACCAGTCTCTGTCCAACCAGTAATTCTGGTCATTTTTGTGTTCTTGAATTTTGTTCTACATTTTTCCTGCTACTCTATCCAGGATCTCCAGTTTTGATAATTCTTCTTCATATTTAATTATACTTAACTATTATGCTTGACATTTTGAGTATTTGAAACTTTATCTAATTTAAATAATATATACATATTTATATTCTAGATGTTTAAGTGATCTAGAATCTTTTGGCATCTATTCTACTCTTTCACTAAAAACAAAAAATTGTAAGAGAAAGATATTATTACACATAAAAGGGTCTATTTTGGGGGAGAGGATTTCATTTCTGTTCTTAAACAACTTCTGGATTAAACATAAGCCAAGTGATGCTTAGCATGGGAGGGAAGAAGGTAAAATGACCTGTTAGGTCCAGATCCATGAACTTGAACTTTTACTACAGATACCCATATTTTTTTTTCTCTATTTTAGCATAAGATTTATAATATATTGAATTGTGTGCCCCAAAATGATGTGTTGAGTACCTGTGGATGTAATCTTATTGTGGAAATAGAGTTTTTCTTTTTAAAATTTTTAATGTGTTTTGGGTGAAAGTTTACAGAGCAAATTCATTTTCCATCCAGCAGTTCATACACATTTTGTCTCATGACATTGACTGCAATTCCCCACAGTGTAACAGCTTTCTTCCCACTTCCTGCCCATAGTTACCTCTTCCCTGTGTCCGTCCTTCCCATGCACTCTCACCCCCTAAGCTGTCTCCCTGTGCATGTGCTGCCCTTCTGTTCTCCCACAATTGATTGCTCCAAGGAGTGCTGATACCCATCTTTTTGTGTGTGAGATTGCTTATAATGGTATCTGATGAGAAGGGAGATTTTGGTATGTTGTTTTCATCTTTCTTTATAGAGAGTGGTGTTATTTCATAGTTTCTAAGATCTTATGTAGTCTATATGCTAAAAATTATGTACATAGTTGTGACTTAGAGGCTTCTGTGACAATTCTGTTTGCCTCCTTTGTTTTTTACATACTTTCAGTCTAGAAAGTCTTGGTGTTAGGTAAAAGTTACATATCCTGAGAAGCAAATAAACTGGGACTTCTACTGCTTGTAAGCTGTATTGTAGAAGTTGGTCTTGACTCATAGTGACTCCTACTTGGTTTCTGAGGCAGTATCTCTATGGGAGTAGATTGTCCAGTCTTCCTTCCAAGGAGTGGCTTGTGGGCTTGAACAGCCAACCTTCTGGTCAAATGCCTTAGGCACTATGCCACCAGAGCTCCCTGGAAAATGAAATAACTGATGTGAAAATTATGCTCATTTCATCAATGTATATTTTAATAAAGAAAAGGCATAATTCAAGGCTATTTACTGGTAGAACTACTATGTACATAAAGAATTGGAGCAGCTTGAATTTCTGGAAGTTCTTAATCGATGTACTGCTACAACTATTTTTGAATTTTCAGCAAAGTTGTACTTGCATATGATATTAATGATATGGCTCAATATTTTACACATTGTTGGATCACTTTTCTTTGTAATGGGAACAAAATGGATCTCTTCCAGTTGTTTGACCAGGTAGCTGTCTTCCAGATTTCTTGGTATAAATGAGTGAGCACCTCCAGTGCAGCATCTATTTTTTGAAACATCTCAGTGGGTATTCCATACATTACCAGAGCCTTGTTTTTCACCAGTTCTGTCAGTGCAGCTTAGACTTCTTGCTTCATTACTATTGGTTCTTGATCATGTGCTGCCTCCTGAAATGGTTGAACACCAACCAGTTCTTTTTGGTATAGTGAATCTTTGTATTCCTTCAGTCTTCTTTTGATGATGCTTCTTGCCTTGTTCAATATATATATAT